GCAATTGCCCATGCAAGAGAAAGAACTCCTGAACCAATCACCGCCGTTATGATGTGAGCACTTGCGGTCACCCATGTCCCTTCAAATTAACCATTTCCAACTTTCAGTTACTCACTATATATCATAATTATCATAAAAATTATTAATACGTGAAGAGTTAATTATACCTGTTCTTTTAGCTCGTCCATCTTCATCGAAGTTCTTGCTGCCATCAGGCAAAGTTTGTGGAGTTTCTATGTGCATGGTGCTCATCTCTGAAACCGACCAATGGGCTGTGTTTGGATTTGTGAGTGCAAATTTGCGATGAGTGGGTGGGTGGCGAACACCCCAAAAGAAAGGAAAGAGTGTGTTTTTATTGTTGATTGGCCTGTAGCTGGTGTTTGGTTTTGGGTAGAAAGGCTGAAAGGAGCAGAGATAACTGAATTGGAGAAAGGGCACTGTGGCTAATGAAAGATGAGAATGGATTAAATAGAAGGGAGGAGCAGGAGAGAAGTGAAGGAGTTTGTACTTTTGTGGCACATGTAATTTCAAAGATGGCTAAGAATTTCATTTACTGAAGAAAAAGTGAGTCACTTTATGAAAAGGAAAAGTTGGAGTGTAGAGCAGTGAAAAGGAAAATTCAGAGCCTTTGAGAAAGAGAGAGTGAGGAATTTTTTTCAGGCATGTGGACCATCAAAGGTGGCAAATTCTGCTCTGGCCAGAGAACCTAAGTGTCCCCTACACTGTTTGGGATTTTGTTTTAGTCCATCCATTTCAAGATTGAAGTCTACGATGACCACATATTATGGGTCTTCCAAAGGGCCACAGATCTATCTTATTAGGACACCATCTTTGCCATTTCTCCCACTTTATTTCCTATAGTTTTATGATCTTGTATTTATCACTCTTTTTGAATTACCCTCACAATTTCTTTTCTTATCATAACTCTGTTTCATTCACTTTCTTCTTACCTTCTAACAACTCTCAATCATTGGTTGGAGACTAATTCCTTTCAAACTTCTAACACCATGCCTAAAATCTAAAATCTATTAGTATCTTGTAAGACATGTATAACGCTTTGTGAGAGATAAATTTATGAATTAAATATGTTTTTTGTATTTTTAATGTATAATTGTAATTTTTTACCTTTTAAATTTCAGTTTTTTTTAATTTTTAAAAATAATAGATATGTTTATTTTAATTTAACGATGTTAATATTTGATAACATGTTTAAGTTTAAATGATACTCTAAAATAATGTTTAACACATAAAATTGACGGTTATTGAATTAAAAAAATTATATCTATTTATTTTTTAAGTTAAAAAAATGTACGAAGGTTTAGGATAAAAACAAAATTTAAATTTAGATTAAAATTAGACTCAAAACACATTCAATAATAATTTTTTTACAAAAATTATTTATTAAATTTTCACAAAATTAAAATCGGTTTAGGTATTTACAATTTGGAAAATTTAAATATATTTTTCATATACAAATTAAGAGCATATATTTATTTTTATTTATACGAATAAAATAGTTTATTTTATTGTTTAATCTTCTCCAAATATATATATATAA